TGTAACCCCAGGCCACGCCCCCCGCCCCCTGTCAGCTTAAATAGGCTTAAGTAATGTAGCCGGAAGTGGGTGGTGGGTGGTGGGTGAAGTTTTGTGGGGCTATGAGAAATGGAAAACACTTCAAGCCTCTAACATTTCAGTGCTCTCTACCACGTTCCATTATTAATGGAAGTTTGATTGAATTGCCAGCACAAAGTAGCCTCTCTCTGACCTTTTCCGACTGCCACTTTGCATCGTCCCGGATTTTCCCCGCTTTTCCCTTAGCTCTTTTTTCACATTTTCCCCCCCCGAAAAAAAAAAAAAAGTTTCATGCTGACAGATTCACACAAATTAGCCGTTGTAAGTGGTGCATCCGTTTCGGCATCCATATTTTCCACCTGCCTGTTCCTCGGAAAATTCGATTTTCCGCTAGAATAGAGGTGGAAACCCCATGCCATCCGCCCATCCATCCATCCATCCATTGCTATGTGGAAAATGCATTAAAATTCTGTTACACCAGCCAAATTCACTTAGTCCGACATGATGAGCACACAATGATGCAATAAGCCGGCGGGGGTTGGGCGGGAAAACCCGGAAAAGTGGGCGGGGCAAAGCGAAATACGGCGGCTGATCCTAACTCAATGACCAAAGGAGACACAAAGTCCTTTTATTACGAAATAGAGACAAATTGTGTTTAGATTATTCGCTGACTTACTCTTAAAATATAAGTGAAAAATATAAATTTCAAATTTTCTGTAACCAGTGATGAGTTAAATCAGTTTTATGGCTATCTTTCATAACACTTTAAAGTAAATTTGAAACTTTGTGAACTTTAGCTAAGCCGTAATTTCCTAACCATCTAGAAATCGAGTTAAAATTCTCTTCAGATATTTAATTGGACTATAAGCAATTTAAAATTTTCCACCCATTACAACATTGGGCCATTACATTAATTCGATTTGATTTGATTCGATCCAATTCGATCATAATAACCGTTCCGTATCAATTACGCCAGTGGAAAATTGTTCCAATTACAGTGCATTATTGACGACGTTAATTGAGTTGGTTGGATGGATGAAGGGATGGATTTTCCAATTCCCATTTTCCATTTCCCGCTTACCCAATAAGTAGGCAATGAATTCTAGAAAGGTCAACGGTGGGTTGTTCCGCACTTTTTAGTACATTATAATGCACTTTTCTCGGTTGACACCGCCATCAAAGTCAATTTAAGGTGGTTTTATTTTTAATGCATGCTGACCTTGGCCGCGAATTGCTTTTGGCCAGGTGTGTGTGAGGAAATTCATTTGGTAAATATCAGCGATGCAGCCTCTAAGCCATCCATCCCCCCCCCGCACTTTTACACCCCTCCCCATCCAATGTAAAGAAAATGCCACCAGGTTGAAGGCTAAATAATTTCCTTTCCATTCAGCAGCTCTTTCATAATCTTTCGGCCAAAAAGGATGAGGCAGTAAAAATACAAAATAAAATAGACTTTCTGTTTAATTAGTTGTGCTTGATTTATTCAGAAGTTAAAGAACCAGACATTATCCCTTTGGTAATATTTTAAAATATAAAGATTATATTGGGATAAAGTTTAGATTGGAGTGTATTATCTCAAGATATTTTGTCTGTTTTTATTAATCAGTGAATTAATTCAGAGCCTATGCTCAACATATCTAATCTATTTAAATTATAACAATGGAAATATCCATTTTTTTACCTGCGACTCAAAGTCAAGATGTAGTAACTTTTGGAAATTTAAAGCCATTGTGCTTGGCCTCCTTTTTTTTTGCCCCCAACGTTAAGAAAATTCATTGGGCAAGCATTGAAAGTGAAGTTGATATATGGCTAATGATGTTGACATGTGTATGGGTGTAAGGGAAAGCGGAGGAAAGCCTTTGTTAACTATGCCACACACACACACACATACACTCACACACTGGAAAATACACCCACGAATGGGGGGCGGTGGGGGCGTGGCAATCAACACATGCAGCTTATTGCTTTCGCCTTGTTTGCTGTAAATGCAAATTGGTTTTGTTGCCGTTGTTGCCCTGTTTTGTACTCCAACCGGCTCAATTGTTTGGCGGCGGAAAAGGCAACGAGTGAAGCGGGCAAATCAAATCAAATATGCACTCCATGAGGTGTAATAAATAACGCTGCGAATGAGTAACAGAACTAGGTAATATACAATCGCATCGATTGCAAAAGCGTTATTATGTGTGGGGGAAATATCTGGTGCAACTGCGGCGATTGCGGCCAATTGAGTTGATCGAATCACAGTAAACTCACTGGCCTGACTCTCTTGTCCCTCATTTTTCCGCTCGAATTGCAATTACTTAAAGTGCCCAGGCCCCAAAAAAAAAAAAAAATAATGGAAAGTGTCAACGAGAAGGAGAAAGATTAGTTGGGCGAAGAATCCTGGGAGACGAGCATTCTGCCTACGGCAAATCCCTACTCCTTTCCAGTTTTTACACTAAGCAAAATAAGGCATCAAATACTGTCAACAAAAATAGTTATATATGAAATCATCTTTTCTAAAAAACTTTCTTAAGAACTACATTTTGGTAGGCTTTATATTTTATTAAAATATTCAATTCATAATTGCTAATTAATTTGTTTATAGTTTTACTAGAAGTAAAGTAATGTTATTGTAATGATGCATTAGTTCAAAGCTTTAATTTCTCAATCAAAAGTTTTTTACAATTTTGTAATTTTTAAAATCACAAATGTTTAATAATTTTCATCTTTATAAATTATTTTTCGCAGTGTGAGTTGTCGTTTTGTCGTTCATTTCTCAGGCAACTAGGCAAGCCAAAGGTACCCATTTGCATAAAATTGCTGTAACATCCTTTTCTGTGTGTGTGTCTGTGTATGTGTGTGTTGCATGCGATTTGCCAGTGTGTGCGTGACTGTTGCACAAGATGTTGGTTGTGTCCTTTTGTTGCCCTTTTTGTTGTTATGTGACAGTCATTGCAACTAAACGAGTGCCGACCTTCAATTGTCCAACAATTTTGGGAATTTGGGTGACTTGCCGAAAAAGTGAAAACGGTTACGCAAATCGGTGACTTAATGAGGTTAAAGTTAGCATTTTGAAGGCGGAAGTCAAGCATTTAAGCACATTTATTTGTAGCTGTAATTGTAGTATTTGAAACTTTATCTATAACTAAAATATTTGTGCTTCTCAATCAAATATTAGGACCCTTGCAATGATTTTCAGTTAGCCCCAATTGTCCTTTTTATAGTAAATGCATTTCCGCTTATGAAATTAAATTGAAAATGATTGGATTTCCCGTTAAACATGGAAAATAAAAAGGGATAAGGATAAAGGTCCGCGGAAATCTCCTGAAAAATCGCATTTAATTCCGGTTTTCTCCCCTTTTCCTTTTTTTTCCATTTCTGTTTCTCTTCAATCCAAATCGAAAGAGAAGTCAAAAGCTAGGGGGAAATGGACAAGAACCGGAATAGAATCTGCAAAAAATCACAGCTGCAGTCAAAGTCATTTTATTTAATAAAGTAAACCGTACAAAAAACGCTTTTAGCAGTGGGGCATAGTTCGTTTTTTAAAGTAACAAACACAAAACCGCTTTAATTGCTTGAAAATTTACTTATACATGAAAAACTGAAAAAGAATATGGTTCCCTTTGACAAAAATGTTAAAAACTTCTTTAAATTAGCTTTGGAACTTTTTAATTAGCCTTTTATTTATTGTTATTTGATGGATAAAAATACAAATGAATATTTGACCAGCTGCTATTGCAAGATTAGAAACTGTTTTAAGTACCTACTTACAAGACAAGCTTTAAATATTTTTTCCAATTTTTCTGCAAAGTGCAATGGCAACTTGGAACTTAACGGGGGATGACCGAAAAACCAGGGGCGGCTAAATTGGCAAGGGGGCGTGGCCAGAGTCACGGTCACGGTTCACAGGTTAATTATGCAGCTTGTTAAGCCACACCAGCGAAAAAAGCCACGCTCCGAAAAGAGTGCAAAAACAACGCTTGAAACAAAGCGAAAAAAAGGGAAAACGAAAATTTTCACCCAACAAAAAAAAAAGAAGAAGGAATATGAAAACAAGAAAAATTCGCCAAAGGCGAAAAGGGGGGAAATTTTTTGGGAGGTGGGCGAAAAACGGGCGAGCACTACATGTTGCGTTCGAGTTCGAAGCAAACTTTTGCCACTGGGGAAATGCTACACGAACTTCGTTAATGAGGTTTACCGCAATGATTTCATATAGGTTTGTGTGAAAATCGGTGCAAACTTAGTGCCAATTAACTCAACCAGCTAATGATGCTCTTTATAATACACTAATATTATAAAGTTATCGAAATAGTGGCATAAGTTTTTGAAGAATTTTGGTGTTAAAAAGAAAATTGGATAATATTTTGTGAATATTATAGTAAATTGTTGGTTTAGAAAAAGTTAAATCATGTCTTCTTTACTACTCGATGTTTTTGGCTTTGTGTCCTGATGTTAAACTAATTGGAAGGAAATATCAACCACATTTAAGCATAAGTAAATATTTTCAAACTTTGTGCTTTGTAAATTTTCAAAGGAATTTCTGGTCTTCTTATTAAAAAATTCCTATTCTCTTTGCTCAATATTTTTGGCTTTGCGATTCATATTTAATATAATTAAATATAAATCCAGATAATTACTTTTCACAAGAATTGAATGTATGTATTACAAGGTAGAGTGCAGTAAAATTCTTTAATGTATTCAAAGCCAAAATTCGAATGAATTTGTAGTCCCTAATTAAAATCTGTCTCTTTTGTGCAGTGGCTTTGGCTCTGTTCTCATGTTTTAATACAAAGTTGGGGCATATTTGCCCCCCATTTGTGACACGCAGAGATTCCACTTGTGCCATTTAATTAGCCCAGCTTTAACACATCCCTGCCCAAAAACTATTCATCCGTGACCCCAAAAAAAAAAAAAAAAGAATGTATGCAATGCATTGAGGCAAGAGTGTGAGTGTTTGTCACTCGTGCAGGCAAATTAAAAGCATAAATTCTGTTCCCTAGAAACGCGCGCAAAAAAGGAAACAAATAAATTTTAGAAAAATGTCCCAGGAGAATACAAATGGTGGTGCAGCAGGAGCACCAGCACCAGCACCACCGCCACAGTACATAATAACCACACCGAGTGAAGTGGATCCCGACGAGGTGCGCTCCATGGGCGATTTGGAGCTGGGATCCCCCGAAAAGCAGCTGGTGCAGAGCCAGAAGTTCTCCACTTCCAGCAGTAGCTCCACCACCAAGGTGGCCACTCGATCCTATTCGATGAGCAGCAGCACCAGTGGCCTGCAGCAAATCCAACAACAGCAACAAAAGCAGGAGAATCTGACCCAACAACAGGTGCAACAGAAGATCATATCCAGTTCGACACGCAGCCAGAGTCTGCAGTCGAGTACGATTGTGGGCGAGGCCACCACCATTTCGACCGGAGCCACCCAAATGCTGACCTCGGCGGCAGCGGCATCCCTGGCCCAACAGCTGAAGGCCCAGAGCTCCACCTCGATCATCACCAGCAGCGAGCAGCGGACCAGCACGAGCACCAGCAGCAGCAGCAGCACCCGGTTCATAGCCAGTGGCTCGAGCAATCTGGCAGGGAACTCCAATTCGGGCAGCAACTCCAGCAGCAAGACCCGCTTCCAGAGTTTCCTCCAGCAGCCGGAGGGCAATCATGGATTCCTCACTGCCCACCAGAAGCATGTGCGGCAGTTTGTGCGCTCCACATCGGCGCATTCGGAGGCAGCGGCCGGAGTGACCGGTTCGGGATCGGGAGGATCTTCGAGGCCGGAGAAGTGCATCCGGAGTGCATCCACGCAGATCGATGATCCCAGCAGCAGCAGTGGAGTGGGACACGGTGTGGATGCCTCCACGGGCAGCCTGGTGGACAGCTCGGCCACCGGCGGATCCATGCAGCTGTCGATGAGCAAGCTCGGCCTGCAGCAGTCGTCCTCCATACTGATCTCCAAGTCGGCGGAGACCATCGAGATGAAGAGCAGCTCCTCGTCGGCTGGGATGCGCACCCAGTTGACCCTGAGTGGGGGATTCCTGGCACCGCCGGGCAGCCGGAAGATCACCATCTTGAGTCCCATCCATGCGCCGCCGGGCCTGCATGATATGCTCAAAAGGGCTCAAGGACGCTCGCCACTCTCGCCCAGGATCAGCTTCCCAGGCAGCGATTCGGACCTCTTTGGGTAAGTCTCCAATAATCATTTATTAAGGCCCATGATTATCATACAATTTCTAATGGATTTTCATTTATATTTAATTTATTTAATCCTACAAATGTTTTGAGACTCATAGAGACCCCAAAGCTTATCACTTAAAAGCCATAATTAAAAGTGCTTAAAGTGCTTCATAAAAATCTCTTTTTTAGGATCGATTTCTCAAAGTCATGTTAGGTTTTTACTAGAGGCAAAGTTGTAGTTAAAATGTGTTAGTCGGCAAAACAAAAATGACGATAAAAAGTTCGCCTTTTCAGGTTTTTGCAGTTAAAGTTGCTTACATACTCGTATGACCCTATAAATATTAGTCGTTCAAATACTTAACATTATATTATAAATTTAATTTAATGAAACTAGAAGCTTAACATGACATTGAAAAATTGGCCCTTAAGGCCCACAACAATTACTTTAAACACAATGGTGTTTTTTTAATCGGAAATTTAATAAACTAAATTTCTATGACACTCCGCCAACTTTTGACTAAATTCGAAATATGTCCGTTGAGCTGGCTCAAAGTGTCCGTGCCAAAGGACTACTCGACCCTTGACCTTTCCCTTGTTCTAACCCCCTTGATTTGCCACCCAAAACCCCCTTTTGCTAATGAACTTGTTTATATCCTTGTCCATGTCCTGGACTCTGATGGCACATTGAACTCGCTGCTAATTGTTGACTTGTTGTTGCAAATTGTCTGGGGGCGAGCCGCATGGGGGGCGTGGCAAGGTGGGTGGCTGGGGGCTTCCCGTCAGTCAGAGAATGTCACAAGAAAAGTCTTCATCCCCCGAAAAACGTTGACAAAATGCCAAAATTGTTTGTCATAGTCGTATAATTAAATTTAAATGTTTTTAATTTTTTCGTACCCTGAACTGTCGCCCTCTCCCTTTCCCGCCGCCTGCCACCCTCTCTTTCTGGCAGCGACAGCAGCTATATATATGTACTCTATATATATATATATTAATAACAGCAGGCACACAAAAAAATAATACGAAAATAAAGAGAATAATTTTAATGAACCCCGAAAAGGAACGAAGGATGTGGCGGGGTAATTGAAGCTGCCAAGCCATGAAAATTTAAAGCACAAAAGGAAATTGGGAAAGGGAAAGTTAAACAATTATTGGAATTACGTCCATTAGATGTATTTAAATTTAATTGCAGGCGAAGAAATCGAAATGCCAATAAGGCCATAAAAAAAATGGTGCGTGTGTTTGTACTTTCTGAAAATTAATCGCTATGAAATATTATACGCGCTAATGGTCAAACACAAAATAACTGATGCGTAAGAAAAAATTATGGCGGGAATCGAGGGGATTAGCCAGTTGACAGTTGCTGTCCAATATTTGCATATTTATTTTTGAAACGCAAACAAATTTCAAGAGAAATTGAGGACGCGTCATCTGTCAATTAAAACAAACCCTTAAAATAAAAATAATATTATATTGGAATTCCTAAAATAAACAAAAACTCGACGCAAAAATACAAAAAAAAGTGAGAGCACAGATTTTTAGAGAATTAGGCCACAATCATTTTGAGGTACGCCACTTTGAATTCGGATATCTGTAAGAAAAGTTATGGGCGAAGAACTGCAAGATTTAGGTCACTTTTCAGCAAGGCCATTTTTCGGAAATTCATTAAAATGTCGAAAATATCGACCCAAAAATACAAAAAAAAAGTGGGAACACAGATTTTTAGGGAATTAAACCACAATCATTTTGATGTATGCCACTTTGAATTGGGATATCTGTAAGAAAAGTTATGGGCGAAGAACTGCAAAGCCATTTTTCGGAAATTTGGAAAGGGGTAACATCATTAAAATGTCGAAAATATCGACCCAAAAATACAAAATAAAGTGGGAACACAGATTTTTAGGGAATGAAACCACAATCATTTTGAGGTATGCCACTTTGAATTGGGATATCTGTAAGAAAAGTTATGGGCGAAGAACTGCAAGATTTAGGTCACTTTTCAGCAAGGCCATTTTTCGGAAATTCATTAAAATGTCGAAAATATCGACCCAAAAATACAAAAAAAAAGTGGGAACACATATTTTTAGGGAATTAAACCACAATCATTTTGATGTATGCCACTTTGAATTCGGATATCTGTAAGAAAAGTTATGGACTTAGAAGTGCAAGATTTTTGTCACTTTTCAGCATTCACCATTTTTCGGAAATTTTGAAAGGGGTTACATCATTAAATTGTCGAAAATATCGACCCAAAAATACAAAAAAAAGTGGGAACACAGATTTTTAGGGAATTAAACCACAATCATTTTGATGTATGCCACTTTGAATTGGGATATCTGTAAGAAAAGTTATGGGCGAAGAACTGCAAGATTTAGGTCACTTTTCAGCAAAGCCATTTTTCGGAAATTTGGAAAGGGGTAACATCATTAAAATGTCGAAAATATCGACCCAAAAATACAAAAAAAAGTGGGAACACAGATTTTTAGGGAATTAAACCAGAATCATTTTAAGGTATGCCACTTTCAATTCGGATATCTGTAAGATAAGTTATGGGCTAAGAACTGCAAGATTTGGGTCACTTTTCAGCATTCACCATTTTTCGGAAATTTTGAAAGGGGTAACATCATTAAAATGTTGAAAATATCGACCCAAAAATACAAAAAAAGTGAGAATGCAGATTTTTAGGGAATTAAACCACAATCATTTTGAGGTATGCCACTTTGAATTCGGATATCTGTAAGAAAAGTTATGGGCTTAGCGGTGCAAGATTTGGGTCACTTTTGCTGCTCACATAAAAAGTCTCAATAAAGATTCCTTAAGAATATGTGTTTTATGTGTATTTTCAGTTTCCCATTAAGAAAGCCAGCTAAAAACTAAACCACACAGTTATTTATTTGGTCTTCCGAAGCCAGTGAATAAAATGGAATAAATCGTCTTGAGAACTGGGATGAGCCTGCCGTTTTGCTGTGGCTTCCTATCAGTTGGCCAACAAGTCGGTCGCCCACTTTAGTCATAACATTAATTCCCGAATCAAAAATTCCCTTAGGAATTAACCAAAAAGTGAAGTTTTGTAGTGGGGGGCGAAGGGAATTGTGTGTGTGTGTCTGTTTTTTAGGGGATGGTGGGGAGAGGGGGGCCTTTAAAATCCAGACAGATTCGCAGGCAGGCCGCAACATTTGCATAGCTTTGGCCACAACCGCCCCCATGACCCCTGACCCCTCTCATAAATCCAGGGAAGGCTCAAGGCTCAACTTTCTCTCTCTGTATGCGTGACTTATGTTTACAGTTTATTTATTATTAAAAACACACAGACAAATGGTCCGAGAAGAAATGTTTATTATTGTTGCTGTTTGCCCCAGTCAAACAGGCTAAACAACAGAAACAAAAAAAAACAAAAAAAAGAAGAGAAGAAGAAAATAACACAGCACAAAATGTATACATTTCTCTGGGAATTTTTTTGGGGCAGGACGAGAAGTCCTGGGGGTGCTCCTCATTTATATGCCATGTCAAAGTCGGTGGTTTGGCTCGCAATGAATTGAAAATTTCAACGCCCCAAGCCCCGGCTAATGTCTATATAAATTATACTCCAATCTTTAAGCTATCAGGGGATCGGCTCGGCGACGCAGCCCGCATTTTTATCAACTTTAAAAGGGGTATTCCCCCAACGAAAGCGGGCCATTTCGGTTTGCCGTCGGGTTTGTCATGGGTTAAAAGGCGTTTGGGGGATTTTTCAAAGAAAAGTTGTGCAATAAATGATTTAAGTGGCCCAAAGTTATGTTGGTAAAGTGGCAAGCATTTCAAATGTGATGAGTGTCAAAGTTGGAATTGGAATTAAAACTAGTTCTAAGAGAGATTCAATTACATTTGCAATGCCTTCAATAATGATAATACGTTTAAATGGCAATAAATCCCTAGATTCATTACCCAAACGAAGGACTCAAGGCGATTTAAGGTTGTAAATCAATATTTAGTTTGATGGCAGTCTCCTAAGCACTTTGCCATTAACTTTTGGGTCGTGTTTCCCTGTTGCAGGCCTCAAAATTGTTTTGAATTTCTGTCAATCAATCTTCCCAAGAAATTGTTAATTAAACTGTTCAACCTTAAACTCGTGTCGGTCAAACCCTGAATTTAACCTTACAGTTAATCCATTAGGCCAACCACTTACATACACACGCAAAAATTATGAACAATTTGATTTATCTATGCAAAGTGAAGTGTTGAATCATATAGGATTTAAAACTAGTATGCTATTTATTTAACTTACATTATCATTAATTCAAATTAATATTTAAGAACTTCCACTTTTCTGCTCATTAGTAATTGCCTTTACTAACCCCTGATTAATTTTTCTGTGTGTCCTGGTCATCTGACAGTCGTTTCCCTAAAAGAGCCTCTAAGAGGCTTGAAAAGTTTTCCTTTTTTTCGGAAAGTGCGAAAGATGCTGGCAGTCGCCTTTTCTTTACTTTCCCGCGGGAGAAAGTGTGGGCAGAAAGTGGTTAAGAGGGACTTAGAGAGTTAGGAGATGGGCCGTGTTCGCATGCCAAAACGTGCCGTTGTTTGCATATTGTATTCGGGTGGGGAACTCTTCGTCCTCCCCTCTCCATATTCTCAGTCGAGTATTGCATACTTTCAGGCGCTAATGAAGGTATATTTGCTCAGCTAAAGAGATGAAAACGGCCCAGCAAGTCCTTCAATTTAGTCAGGATATTATTGAAAGTCTGTACGCAGCTCATTAATTTTGTGGGTTTCCGTAATCTAGGCTTTCATCCAGTGGTCCATTTCATTTTCTTCATAAATTTGGTGGAGCTGTTTGATTAAAAATGAGGCTCCAAATAAAACTCTGTTGTTAGTTATTAAATTGCACTCCTTAATTATTCATGCTTCTGTTTCAAGCTGTTTAGTTACTTAACAGATTAAATTAACATAAAAGGTTGACTCCCACTGAACTATTAATTTTCAAATTATGTTTGATAACAAATAAATGTAAAGGTATCAATACAAATGTATTTA